TAATAATAATAATAATAATAATAGTAATAATAATAATAATAGTAATAATAATAATAATAGTAATAGTAGTAATAATAATAATAGTAGTAATAATAATAATAATAATAATAATAATAATAGTAATAATAAATTGTCGTTGTTTATGATTCGCGAATCAGCCATCACGAAGCCACGCGATACGTGCTTCACACCGGGACACAGTCGTGATTATCAGAGTAGGTGCACGTTACTCTTCTATTGGGAAGATCAGCTAATTAACCTTAATTTCATTTTTACCCCCCAGGGTGTTAGCAATTGGGAATGGGGTGAAATTATGATGATGAAATTATAAAATAAACACACATTCAGAGGCACTCGTTATTATTATAATTATAATATTAATAACTGATAATTATTATTAGTTATTATTTATTGGCGTAATATTTTTATAAATTTTTGAATTATTAGGAACTTGATACTTGACTTACCTTGTAAATAAGAAAGGAAGTTGTTCTATATAACTACATTTCGACGCTTTGTAGCTTCATCTGTACGATGAACATGAAAAACCACATGTACATTTTCTTACAATCAAACTTACTGTCTTCTGAATTGTATATACAAGTAAAATTATATGGCACATTCCATCTAATAGACATATCTATTATTTGACTCAACCCTACTTAACATGTTGCCCAAAAGGAAGAGCTGTAGGAAAGTTACAAAAGTAGGTTCTTAGTATTCAGTCTATGAAAAACTCGATAAACCCCAAAAGTATTGTTTCATGTTCTTCAACATGTATTTTCAAAGACTGATGAAATGGGGGAGGATTAAAATTCTGGAGCTTATAATCACTATTCACTTGTCAACATAGAGTTGAATATATTTTTGAAAATGTAAACGAAATTTTTTATACTTACTAAAACGTAAAAAGTAAGTTGAAGAGAACTGCGGCAAAAAAATTCTGCCGTTGACTTTTACTAAATAATGTAATAATCTCATATAAATATTTCGTTTTTTGTGAAGGGATATATCGGACGACTGCTGGACATTATGACAGTGCATGACCATTAATGTTTTCATTTAAAGAAAGTCACGCGTTTTACGTAGGGGGTCAGTTTCGAATTGCTTTGTAAACACCCTCTAAGGGTTAAAAGATGAAACGGCAACTTAGAGTTAGGAATGTTTCTATTAATAAAATTTCTAAACGATGAAACGGTAATATTTTACCTAAACAAAGAGGAAAAATTGTATGTATTTGAAATGTATTTCAAAACTTTACAATTGCAACTTTGTATTTAACAATGTATGTTTCATTTGTGTTATGTATAATTTTTCTCTACTATTTCTGCACGGTTTTTTAACCGATGGAAATGTTATGTATTGTCTTTATAGATAGTCGCTAATAACCATAGATGTTGAGCAACGTAAAATAAATTCATTTTTTTAAATGAGAAAAAACTACACTGGGTTTCCGGCCTCCCCCCCCCCCCCCC